CCCAAATCTAGGGAAAATGTTGAAGATTTGTAGATATGGCAACGTCGCTTTTTAAAGTATCGGTACATAATCTGCATTTTTCTCCAGAGGACTAGGTACTAACTGGCCACACAGCGTGCTTTTGAACTCCCCAACAATATTGTACAGGGGTTTGGTAACAACCTGTATACAGAAGGATCTATTATTGTAAAAAATCTAATATTTGATATATACAGAGTGGATATCACTTATGGAATATAATAATTTTTGGCAGTATTATAAAAAAAAATAGAAAAATGCTTTGAAACTATATATTGCATCTTTTAAAACAAAATTGGTACATATAGGGTTATTCATGTATTTACAGTATTGTATAAGTGACTTTTGTTCTTCATTTAATATAATTTCATTTATATGAAATTGAAGTTAAATGATCAAGTGACTTTACGAAATATAAAAAAATAACATTAATGATTCATTTATCTAATACTGCAAATATTATAATTCCCCTACAGGCACCAATTTTGCTTCAAAATATGTATCATTTAGATTAAACATTTACTTGTCAGAGCATTTGTTATAGTTTTCTAAAATATAGAGAAAAATAGTTTAATTCCATGTGATATCAACACTGTATATGGAAAAAGATTTATTTCTATGATTACTGCCTATTGATATTGATAGATATTATTAAACTTCATATTTAAAAATGATTTTTTGATATACCTGTAGGTTTACCTTCACTCTATAACAATCTAATCTAACGCAAGGATACCAAAAACTAATCTTTACAAATAAGATGTAAGAACCATAAAAATGTAAGATTTTCCAAAAAAAAAAATTGTATAATCAAGAAATTTTATGTAAAATTAATAATCTTTTAATAAAAACCATTTTTGTGGGTAAGTTGAAACTCAAATATGTAATTATTTAATTTTTTTAATAGCCTTTAATCTATTTTCTAACTCCAATCAAAAGTACCTTTATTATTGTATCTAAAGTTATTAGTTTTGAAAAAAATTTAAACATAATTTAAAAAAAATAAACCGAAAAATTATTTTATTTTAACTGATCACTGATTAATATGAAATACACTGCATTTGTTAATTAAATAGTAATTAGAATTTAACCCAGTGGCGCATCTAGAATTTTGATGAAGGAGCAATACACTATATTGGTTGGTTTGGGTTACAAACAAAATATGACAGATATTGAAACAAATGTTTATGTCAAAATTTCCTGACAAAGATCTTTATCTGAGCCTTAAAATTGCCTGATTAAGTTCATCATCTGATCCTCAAAATTTCTTGAGAAAATTGGTTGATAAAATTTGCTGACAAAGTTGTCTGAGAAAAATGGCCGATAAAATTGTCTGACAAAATTTTTTGCCTGGAGCCATGCTCAACCATTTTTTAATACTACTACAAATACAACCTTATAAGAAAACAACATCAACAGTGCACATTTAAAACCAGCAAAAGCATATTACAAAACACATAGATACATGCAACTGACATTTTGCAAGACACGGACAGCGTATATGTGCTAAAGGAGCCAAATATAGACATGATAAAGATCACATGCTAAGAGCCCACACATATATGCTACATGACCATAATTTTCCCTAACTTTTCTATCTAAAACAACTGGATGTCCTGGTAGAAAATAACAGTAGTCACTAAAATGATATCAACAATAGTACTCATCAAGTAAAAATAATCTGTCGTATACCTAGCAATCATTAATAGTTACCAATTAAACGAATGCTATCCAAATAATCTTTTACATCATACTCATAAAAAACAACAGAAAATTATGCAAACATAAAAATATATAGGTATTTGAAGATTTGAGAACTGGCCTAAACGTCCTCTGGCCCGAACTAGCACATCAAATTTCTGTCTAGGAATCACGAAAGTCAATATTATTGATGGTCTATAGGAAAGGGCATTTGTCTAGAGAACAAGGATGTCTGGATTTTGTAAATATCCAAGTATTTGTTTTCACTTTTCATAGGGGGTTTTTTTAAGATTTATTACCGAATTTTTTAAAGTATTCAGACAAAAATTTAAAAATATAACACAAATAAATTTACCTAACAAAATCTAACATAAAACCTCTAATTAACACAAGTAGACTTCAAAAGGGGGAAGTATTGTAAACCACTAAAGTCAAAATATACCCCAATTTCGGAAATCACCTAAAATTGATTTGATGCGCTTTCGGTAATTTCGCCGAAAATTTCTGGCATCAATAGAAAACTAATTCAAATTGTTTATTTTCACGTGTATAAGTTGTTCCCTAAGTCAAGTTTGCACCAAACAAACCATTATATATGAACTATTAAATCTATTTTACGTCTATCATTATTAAATGTTAAACCCCAAAATTGGACGTAGCGTCTAATAACTATTTTAATAATTATGTATTAAAAAGTTCCATAGTAGAGACAGTAATTTATGATTTTTCACCCGTTTTCTCATTTCAATATCAATCAGTATTTAATAGGAACGTTAATCAGGTGTACCCCATACATAAACCAGCTTTAATAATATGACATTTCTAAAAAGTCTTCAGTTTCAAGGCGACGACTTAAACTTGATTAAAACAAAAAACGAAATATGGACATGCGTGAATAACTTTCCTAGTTTATCTCCCAACATCAACAATGATGACTTGCTTGTTTACTGTAAACACTTTACGCTGATTTCAAAGAACGATTTCAGAACATTTTGAGCATGGACATACCAGCCTGGGTGTTAGTGTTAAGGTTATTTAATTAGACCTTCAAGCAAGACCTTTTTTTAGTTTTGAACATTTTTGATCAAAGTTAAGTTGACGTTTTTTAGTATTTTATATAGTTGTCAGTTTATGTAAATTTCTATATTTCTATTTTATAATTATACACTTCAATAAAGAGTTTATTTAGATGGTGGTAATGTATATCGATATAGCTAAATAGTCCACTCATAACAGGTTATGGGCCTAGAGCTCAAATTTCTATTTTGATTACAATCAAACTCCACTTGACACTATTACTAGAAAAGTTATTTACAATAATTTCTTGCCAAATCTGAACTATAATCTAAAGACGAAAATGGATAAAGTCGACGTTTCACATGTAAATAAATTCGACGAAAACAACCATCAGCAATGGTAATTTCAAATGAAGTGTTTTTGTTGGGCAAAATGAATTTTTGGCACAACAGACGGCTCAGTTCTGAATCTAGTGATACTAAGGAAGTAGATAACTGGTTGAAACAAGATACCAACGCCATGTTCATGCTGACTTCTGCAATGCATCTATCGCAGATAACATTGGTAGAAAACTGCACAACATCTAAACTAATCATTGACAAACTTGACTTAATTTATCAGCAGAAGATCAATAAGATGATGGTCCATGAAAAGTTTCATCAATATAAGATGTGTCCAAGCGATTCCGTAGTTCAAAATGTTTCGAAAGTTGAAAATCTTGCCAGATTGGTACGGGAAACAGGAGAAACTATCAGCAAAACTGCAATTTTGACCAAGATTCTTAGAACGTTACCCTCAAAATACCGAAACGTAAAACAAGCGTGGCCATCTCTTGATGAATCAAAGTAGACAATAACAAACCTTACTGCTAGATTACTAGATGAAGAAACTAGTATTACTTGATATGAAGATGCCGAAACAGTTCTGACAGCAATATATACAACCAACAATAGAACTACGTCCGAAGGTACCAAATCTAGAGCAGCAATATACTGTTACAACTGCAGAAAAAAGAGGCATATATCTAGAAACTGTCGACTATCCAAAATAAAAACAAAACCTCAGGATGAAATTAACTCTTCAAAAAATACAGTACACAACGAAAGAACAGGCACCAACCATGAAACACAATGTAACTGACGAGAAAGAAACCTGGATTATAGACAGTAGTGCTTCTGAGGTACAGACCAGACTACTTCACTAATTTCGATGAAAATAACATTTCAACCGTGACTCTAGGAAATAACCATTCGTTAACTATTAGAGGCAAAGGCTCTGTGAAAATACAGAAACTGATAGATGGGAAATAGTATAGTTCCACCATAAACAACGTTCTCTATGTCCTAGAACTAAAGAAAAACCTTTTCTCAGAGGGAGTAATTACCGCCAAAGGAATGAAAATAGTAAAAGAGGACAACTTTGTCCTATCTTTGAAACCCTTGCCGAGATGTCCCATCTAAGACTTTCCGCGTATGCGGATGTAATTCGACACTACTTTTTTGTTAGGAATAAGAAAAATGCACCATGGCAGGCAAAGATCCACTAGCTTCAATAATAGCAACAGAAACTGCAAAAACCAAAGTAGATATCTAGAAGAAGTCATCAGTTTCAATAATTACATTTAAAAAAGTTACTGAGAAAGTAAAAAATTGAATACTGATTATAGGACTCTACTCAAACCATATAAGGGCAGACAGCAATCTGAAAGCCACACAAAGAAGCTCAAAGATTTAAAACTTAGTTGGGAAGAAACTCTCTTTGATATTGCTAGTTGTAAATGTAAAGGCCTCAACGATTGCCACTGTTCCAAACAGAAGAAAGTTCCAGCACAAGAAAGGGAATTTGTAATAAATTGATCCAGGAAAATAGCAAAAAGAAACCAAAGAAAGATGGAACGATCCCAAGAACCTGAAGAACAATTTAAAACACGCTTAAAATTAAAGTCCAAAGATTCTCCGTCTGGGCCAGAAGACTCTGAAAATGAGACTAGGAATGATCCTGGAAAATTTCCTGACTCTGATCCCCAGCTCTCTTTGTCTTCCACAACTGCAGACGTTTCAAAATTGCAATTGAAGGTTATTCTCACAGCTTTTGCTAGAGACTATGATCGTTACGGTGTTTCAGACAAAAGCGCTGCATCACTTTCTTCCGTTCTGTTACACGATTTGGGCATCATTAATGAATAGGATACTTTTAATATAATAGATGGAAATAAAGTTAGTCGGGAAAGGGAAAAATACAGGAAAGAATTGCAAAATAAGAACATGGAGGTAGTAAAAGCGTTATATTTTGATGGACGAAAGGATACATCCCTGACACACTTTAAAAAGGGTGATAAGTATTACTATAGTACCATTACAGAGGAGCATATATCCTTGGTAAAAGAGCCAGGTTCCATTTACCTCGGCCAGTTAGCCGTATCGGCTGGATCAGCTGTCGTCATCAAAGATACCATATTGGATTTCTTTAATAGAAAAGAAATATCGATTAAATCGTTAATAGCAGTTGGATGTGATGGCACTATCGTCAACACAGAAACAAACGCAGGATTAATAAGACTCCTAGAAATTGCCCTAAATTGACTTTTTCAATGGTTCATTTGCATGTTACATCTAAACGAACTTTTTAATTCAACATTTGTCAGACAGTTTCGCGTACCTCCTTTAAACATGCAGGCAGATGATTATACAGAAATAATTTATTGTTATAAAACAGATAGGTCAGAACCACCAATATTAAAGCAGGTCTCTGACTAGGACCTGGAAGGTTTTGTATCTGGTCAAGAATCTGACTCACCCTTTTTAGTTTTACCAAGTTACCCTGTCACACTCAGACCACTGAAAAATGCGTAAAATTAGTTACAGAGACATTATCTAAAGTTTGTAAAGAGGAAAAACGAGATGGTTTCATAAAATCTCGAATCGAGTCTAGGAAGCTTATGAATTCATTTAATTCTAAGTCAGATTTTAAGCGTAAATAACTTTTTGTTTCTTTTAATAATAATATACGTTCTAAGTTAAATATTTGTTAATAATAACATATTTTTTTGTATATCGGTACACGTTTCTTTTAAGCTCCATACGTTTTGGCAGCTTCAGTTTTGTTGAATTTTTAGTTTTATTTTTTCTTAACTATATTATTGTTCCTACACACACTTTTAATATTTCTGTTCGGATTTTTTGACTTGGTTCTACCTAGATATGTAACGTGTCGTAATATCGTCCATAAATCTATGTTTTCGTTAATTTGTCCATTAGATTCCAATTGAAAGTGTATTATCTACATGAAACAGGATTTCATATTTTTTTGTTAAGTCTTTGGGGCACCCCCAAAAATGTTCCGAGAGCCTCCAATTTTTAAACACACACTTTTTAAACATTCAAGAAAAGTTTACACATAGAGCCGTATCGGTTTTTTTTTTAATTTTTTGAGGGGTTGGGGCTCCTGAAGGGGTTGATTTTTTTTTCGCAAAAAACTTACTTTTATGAATAGCAACTTTTGCCACCCGGACCATTATCAAATTCAAATAAAGTTTTTTTCGATCCTACCTAATTGTATAATTCAAATTTACCTAAATATCTGTGGGCAGAGACTAAAAAATACATACTAAATCGCACACCAACCACACAAACCCCAAATTCAACACCATATAAACTCTGATATGGTTAAGAAGCCAACTCTACATTACATTAAAACGTTTGGTTGTGAAGCTTACACACACATAACTGACGAAAAGCGCAAGAAGCTCAATCCGAAAAGCAAGAAACTAAAAATTACCGACTGTTCGATCATTTAACAAAGAAAATAACGATTTCCAAAAATTTACTGTTTAGTGATAAAGTGAAAGGTTTTGTTTCAAAACCAGATGTTATTCTTATTACAGCAAATATGGAAAAAGATGTTTTTGACGAATCACCTAATACTGAATTGAATCAGGTTCTCAAGGATTCATCGTCTGAATCTGAAGATATCGTATCCAATATACAGTATAGACCGAGAAGATAGGTTCATCTTCCCAAAAGATACGATGATTTCGATATCGTCGCAAATCGACGATACAAGTGGTTCTTAATGAACTACAAACGGCTTTTGAAATGAAAATTAGTGAAGCAAATTATTATGAACTATTATTATGAATTATTATGGACTAAAAATATCTAGAAGCGACGACGGTTCAATTTTCTAATGCCTACTCCGTTAGTGTACCAGCTAATCCTTAAACCAATATTACAAGAGACAAGGGCATTTACCTCGAAGAAGGAGAAGTACCTTACAGACAATTAATTGGTTCCCTAATGTTTGTAGCAATTATAACCCGCCAGACATTGCTTATTCAGTGGAGTAGCTAGTCGCTATTTGAATAAGCATACAAGAGAACAATGGAATGTTGCGAAGCAAATTGTTAAATATCTCTCTGGAACAACGAGTTATAGAACTAAATTCAATACCCAACATAATTCTCCATTTCTGATTGGACTTTCTGATTCAGACTGCGCTGGTGACATAAAAACAAGGCGATCTACCTATGAGTATTTTTTAAAATTTGTGATGCACCTATGACCTGGACTAGCAAGAAACAATCATGTGTTTTACTGCCCACGGTAGAAGCTGAATATATTGCAGCCTCCCATGCAATCAAAGAAGCAATATTATTACAGAAAATCTTGTCCAATGCATGTGAAATTGTTGTAAAGCCCACAGCATTACATATAGACAATCAAAGTGCTATCAAACTATTTCGAAATCCAGAATTTTACAGTCGCACTAAACATGTGGACATAAAATACCACTTTGTTAGAGAAAAATTTGAAAATGGTGACATTGTTTCTGAATATGTAAGAATAACTGAACAGCAAGCCGATATATTTACCAAACCACTATCTAAACCTACCTCTGAAAAACTAAGAGGCATGTTAGGTGTTCAAGAGTCAATATAATTATTTAATTTTTTTTATGTTCAAAATGTTGGAATGATCACTGCATACTAATTGGATCTTGCAGAGAATCTTGCATGTCAATATTGACATGATATATTTTTGATAGATATTACTTTATTTCATTCCGATTTTATTATTGTAAGCAGTTGTTTATAACATTAAATACCCGTTTTGTGTACTAGAGTCCCTTTATTTGCATAACTCCTAAACAAAAAGTGAAAGTGTTAAGGTTATTTGATTAGACCTTAAAGCGAGGCCTACTTTTAGTTGTGTACTGTAGTGAACTAATGTAGTGAATTTTCCTAAAGAGTTTACTCTATGAACTTTGTTTCTAAGGTTTGATTATATTATTATTGTTATTTTGTATGTCAAGTTTCGCTAAATAAAGCCTTATTTTAGAAGGTTTCCTTCATTACAATTTATTTAGCGAAAATTTTAAAAACCATCATAGTCGAATGGATAAATTTCTGAAACCTGAACGGTTTAATGCTGATCCAAATTCAGAAAACGCAGCTAAGGAGTGGATGCATTGGCTAAAGACATTTGAAAATTTTATTGCAACTGTTGAAAATGTTTCGGAAAGAACAAAGCTAGATATTTTAATTAATTATGTGAGTTTTTCTATTCATGATTATATTTCTGAATGTACGAGTTACAACGATGCAATCCAAGTTTTAAATAGTGTTTACATCAAAGAAAAGAATGAAATATTTGCACGATATCAATTATTTACAAGGAAGCAACAGTCTAATGAATCTATAGATAAGTATATTCAAATTCTTATTCAACTGGCAAAAGAATGCAAATTTATTGCCGTTTCTGCAGAAGAAAATAAAAGAGACTATATGAGAGATGCTTTTATTACTGGGTTACATTCGAATAATATCAGGCAGCGCTTACTCGAAAACCATACACTTAAATTTGAAGATGCTGTGAACCAAGCTAGATCTTTGGAGTCTGCCCAAAAGCATTCTGAAGCTTATAATCTTACTAGTATGGTATGCTCTGTTCAAGAGAATGAAGACAGTAACAACCAAATTGAGGCTGAAAATAATATAGCTGCTATAACTCCTTCCAATAAATGTTTCTTTTGTGGGAATAGAAGACACTCTCGCAGTATCTGTCCAGCTCGTGATATATTCTGCAAAACGTGTGAAAAAAAAGGCCATTTTAGCAAAGTCTGCATGTCCAAGAAACAACACAATAAGTCTCAGTCTGTATCAACATCAGCTTTTCTTATATCTCCCCTTTCCCACGTTTTAGCAGCTGCTCCAAACTGTTTACATAAATCCTTGATTAAAATTAAAATTAATAATAAATTTACCTGTGATGCACTTGTGGATACAGGAAGCTCCGAAACTTTTATCTGTAAAAACTTCACCCAATCTGCAAATATAGAGTTACTACCAAGTGAAGGACAAATTAGTATGGCTTCAACAGCTTTGCTCTCAAAAATTTGTGGACATTGTTTCATTAGTTTGGAATTCTTAGGCCATAAGTATGATCAAATTAAAATATCCGTATTACCAGATCTCTGTGCAGATATAATCATTGGTCATGATATACTGTCGCAACATTCGAAAATTGAAGTCAATTTTGGTGGTTCCAGATCTCCTCTTATCTTATGTTCATTAGCTCCTGCTAAAGTTTGTTGCCCAACTCTTTTTGCCAATTTATCTTCTAACTGTAGTCCAATAGCTACAAAATCTCGACATCATAATGTTGAGGATAAATTATTCATACAAGAAGAAATTAAAAATCTTATTTCTAAAAAAATAATACAAGAAAGCAACTCACCATGGAGAGCTCAGGTTCTCGTAACTAAAAACGAAAATCATAAGAAGAGGATGGTTATCGATTATTCGCAAACAATTAATAGATTTACATACCTAGATGTTTATCCATTGCCGACATTACTACATTACGATGAAGATATCTTATTTCTGAGCTTAAATAAGAATGTTTTTTCTTCTTTAAAAGGAATAAATAAAAAGGGATACAGACCCACTTAATCACATGTAAAAATATTTTTATTGAAATTTAAAGAATGCTTTGAGTTTATCAATTAATCTTAACTAATGTGAGGGATAAATCTGATACACTTTAACGAGTTTAGCAATATTGGGCTCAAAGTCACTTAGAAACAGGCGCAAGTCTCCGCGTTCAGTAACATGTAGTTAGCAGGGTTGTTACTGCACTAAATCCACGCTCAGATAATCAAAATGCCATTAGGAATCGTTGAACCATCGACTATAAAACAGGATACAGTTATGGGATTGACTTCTGCATCCAAAATTCATGGTAACCATTTTTAAATTTAATTTATAATCCCTCGTTTATTGTCAGTTCTATAAGTTCCTCTTCTAACTAGGATGATCCTGCTGTGTCGACATTTGAAAAAGGATCTAACTGTTATGAATGGACTATTCAGCTATATCGATATACACAACCACCACCACCACCTGAATGATGTACATGTAATGAAGGAAACCTTCTAAAATATGGCTTTATTTAGCGAAATTTGACATACAAAATAACAATAATAATATACATCAAACCTTAGAAACAAAGTTCATAGAGTAAACTCTTTAGGCAAATTCACTACATTAGTTCACTACAGTCACCCTGGCCTAAAAAGTACACAC